TTACAGGAGATTGCTGGTGCTCTTGGTTACCTCCATAACTGGATAAGAAGAGCCTATTGCTAGAGACACCAAACACCTTGAGTCATAGACCAGAGACATCAAGCTGATACTCCCATGGAGGCACCGCTCATACTGCCTAACTTTCATGGTTCTGGGAGGAGACTAGGAATCACCAGTCTTTCCTGGCTGTGAACTGAACCCTGTGAGCTACAATGCCTGGCCCGTCAAGAGGTGCCACTAGTACACAAATACGTGAGTAACCGAACACTTTCTCACCGAATTTAAGACCCACTCCAGAAGTTAAAATCCATACTGGCGCCATTACAGGGGCCACGAACATGGGGCTAGATGAGTCACAGGCTCTCCAGGAGAACCTGCCGTTACCACTCTACTAAATGGACATAGTATTAAGCTGGCTCCTGACGGCTCGTTGTTATAACTCTAGACTAGTGCCTCTATCAGCCCGCAGCAGAGAAGCTCCTTTTTGCAGTAGGTAGCAATTAACACAGAAACCCACAACTGGGCAAGGCGCAGAGAATAACAAACTGAAAAAGGCTTAGCCCTAGATAAGACTGCTGCTTCACAGCCTCTCCTCCCAGGGTTCAGGGATCGTTGCAGAAGAAGGGGCAGAAGGATTATAAGACCGGAGGTGTTTCTGCACACAGCAGTGCAGTTGCGCGTGTGAATGCGAGGCAGTTGAGGCAGCGTGCACAAAACCTGCATTAGACAAGATTCCAGCCTACAGAAGGGAGGTGGGCGTGAAGCCCCACCCCTAGTTAAAGAACGGCTGGCAATTGTCAGCTCTCAGGAGAGAGCCTAAGGGGCAGCCTGGTGAGTTCACTACCCTCCAGCAAAGGCCACACATCCCAGAGTACACTGGCACCGCAAATTGTACTTGACGGGGAAGGCAACAGCTAAGTCGGGTGAAAAGGGGGGGATGGATCAGGGAGGAGTGAGGGAGTGGCTATGTTCAGAATAGATTGCCTAACATTCTTAGAAAACATTAAAAACAATGAGAGAAAAGAGTTGTCATCGGACCTCCATGTACACACTATGGCACACTCGTACACATTCACACAGGGAGAAAGATGACAGGGAAAATACAGGGGGAAAACAGAAGGAGCTCCATGACATAAGCTAACTTTGAAAACATGTTAAGTGAAAGACAAAAAGACACATTTCAGAGTTATATAAAATTTATATAAAATGCCCAAGAGAGGCAAATTATAGTTATAAATAAACCAGTAGCTGCTAGCATCAGCAGGGAAAAAAAAAAAAAAAAAAAAAAAAGTGACTGCTACCAGGTTTTCGTTGGTGGTGACTTTTGGTTTTGTTTTGAATGATGAAAATATCATAGAATAAGATCCCAATAACGGTCACTGTATTAGTTACTTTTCTGTTGTGATAAAAACACAATGACCCAAAGTCACTTATGGAAGAGTTTATTTTGGGCTTACAGTTCCATAGGGATAGGAGTTTACCATGGCATGGGGGGGCATGACAGTAACTGCAGACGCCGTGGCAGGACCTGGAAGCTGAAAAACCCCATCTTCCACCGCAGACAGGAAACAAGGAGAGAGCCAACTGGAAGCGAGGCCAGGCTGTGATCTCCCAAACCCAATAGGGTGGTTTGGATGAGAATGGCTCCCATAGGCTTATAGTTGAATGCTTGGTCCCCAGCTGGTGGACCTGTTTGGGAAGGATAAGAAGCTGTGGCTTTGTTGGAGTTGGTATGTCACTGCGGGAAGGCTTTGAGGTTTCACATTTTCCAGTCAGCTCTCTTCCTCTGCCTCACGCTTGTGGATTAGACATGAGCTCTCGGCTGGAAAGATGGCTCAGAGGTTAAGGGCACTGGCTGTTCTTCTAAAGGCCCTGAGTTCAATTCCCAGCACATGATGGCTCGCGACCCTCTATAATGAGATCTGGTGCCCTCTTCTGGCCTACAGGCATACATGCAGGCAGGACACTGAATGCATAATGACTAGATGTGAGCTCTTGGCTACTGCTCCAGTGTCATGCCTGCCTGCCTGCCGCCAGGCTCCTCCCCATGAAGATCATGGACTCTAACCCTCTGGAACAGTGAGCTCTCCAAATAAATGCTCTCTTTTGGAAGTTGCCTTGGTCATGGTGTTGTGTCACGGCAATAGAAGGGTAACTAAGATACTCGCTGTCAGGGGAAGCAAAGGAAAAGAACTCTCCATAACGCAGAGAAAGTGGAGGGAAGCAGAAGAGAATCCAGTGTGTAAAGCCTCAGAAGGCAGAAGGTCCCACCGGTGCTGAGGAAAGACAAACTGCACAGAGCCGCTGTGTGTCATGTTTAACATACTTCAGAACACTGATGGTCCAGATATCTCCTTTCCTGCCGCCAGATTTACATACCTTGTCCATATGGAGATTTGCAGGAACTAGTTGATGGTTCTTCATGCTTTCATGGGCCTGTTCACCTAGAGCTATAAAGTCTTCCCTGAGTCCAGGATGTACCACTTTTCATATTCTTTCTGAACAAGATGATATTCTAATAATTGATCCAGTAAAGTTCTTTATAGCTTAATATGGGGCTTGGCAGCAACCCAGTTTAATCCCAAGACTCACATGGTGGAAGGAAAGAACTGATTCCTGCAAACTGTCCTCTAATCTCTACACACACACACACACACACACACACACACACACACACACACACACTGAAAAACAATACCATAATACACCATAAAATCCACTATTTTGTATACGAGTTTTTAAAAGTTAATTTCTTAAGTGAAAAAAATTAATATTTTTCTTCTTTTGGAAGTTTCTTTTTTTACATTTATTTATTTATTATTTATACAATGTTCTGCCTGCACCCCAGAAGAAAGACCATATCTCACTCTAGATGGTTATGAGCTACCATGTGGTTGCCGGGAATTGAACTCAGGACTTTTGGAAGAACAGTCAGTGTTAGCCTCTGAGCCATCTCTCTAGCCCTTTTGGAAGTTTCTCAATGATACAGCCTCTAAAAAACTTAGTGTGCATACTAAATCACAGGGGTTTTATGTTGTTGCTTATTTTTGGGGGGTGTTTTTTTGTTTGTTTATTTGGTTTTGGGTTTTTTTTCCTAGACAAGGTTTCTTTGTGTAGCCCTAGCTGTCCTGGAACTCACTCTGTAGACCAGGTTGGCCTCGAACTCAGAGATTTGCCTGCCTCTGACTCTTGAGTGCTGGAATTAAAAACATGTGCCACCATCAGCTGGCAAGTTATAGTGTTTAAAAAAAAATCAGGTGCTGGGTAGGCAGCTCAGTGACAGAGGGCATTCCCAGCACAAGAGAAGCCCTGGGTTCTGTCCGTCCTTAGCCTGGGTTCTGTCCGTCCTCAGCAGTACATGAAAATGAGCCTTAATGCATACCAGTTGTATATACATTAGAACAGGGGGACTGGAGAGGTTTTCAGTGGTTAAGAGCATATACAATTCTTGCAGAAGCCTGGAGTTAGTGCCTGGTGCCCGTGTCCAGAAGCTCAGAACCCCAGAACCCCAGTTGTTACCCCAGTTCCAAGGACTCTGACTCTCTCTTCTGGCCTCCACTGGAGCTGCACTTACATATACACATGATTAACAATAAAATAAACTTTAAAACTTTTTAAAAACTTGGAGCATAGCCAGGCAGTGGTGGTGCACGCCTTTCGGGGGGGGGGGGCAGAGGCAGGTGGATCTCTGAGTTTGAGGCCAGCCTGGTCTACAGAGTGAGTTCCAGAACAGCCAGGGCTACACAGGAAAACCTTATCTCGGGGAGGGGGGGCAGTTGAAAAATAGATCGCTAAGAATGATTTTTACTTTTCTGTTTTGTTTTTCGAGGCAAGGTTTCTCTGTGTAGCCCTTGCCTATAGCCCTGACTCCTCCTGAATGCTGGGATTAAAGGTGTGTACCACTCTGCCCAGCTTGTCCCTTTTTTTTTTTAATGAAAACTATTTTTAAAATTTCAGACATGTGTATTATGTTTACACCCTCTTTCCTTCTCTTTTCCCTCCAACCCTCCCTGTGTCCTTCCTACCCTGCTTCTTCTCAAAGTCATGACTTTTTCTTTGTTTCATATATTTTTATGCATGCATATATGTATGTGTATATTTGTTATATACATATTTATGAGTATATGTTCATAAATATATAACATATAACATATAGGAAGGTATGCACACATTATTTATGCATAAATACAATCTACTGAGACCATTTAGTGTTGCTTGTATGTGTGCTTAGGCTAAGCACTAAGTACTGGATAACTGAGTAGGAAGCTTATCCCTGAGGAAGAGTGATTTCTCCCTCTCTGTCATTAATTTCCAATAGCTTTTCATTTAGGGGTGGGCCTTGTGAGAGTTCCCTTAAAGTCACAGTAGTCGGGGGGGGGGCAGGGAAAAGCAGGCAGACACAGTACGAGACAGCAAGGGAAGCTGAGGTAGGAGAGGAGGAGCAAAGAGGAAGGAATGGATCTTGCTGCAAAGCTGCACTCCAGACTGTTCTCAGTGTGGGGATGTGTCACTCACAAACTTGACACAACCAGAGGACTGAGGGGGATTAGCCTTTGGAGGTGCCGCTGGGCAGCAGAAGCCTCCATCAGCCTGCGGGTCAGCCTGGGGTGGTGGTTCTGCCAGGGTCAGCCTATGAGGTCCTCCTGCCAGGGTCAGCCTGTGGTGGTGGTCCTGCCAGGGTCAGCCTGTGAGGTCCTCCTGCCAGGGTCAGCCTGTGGTGGTGGTCCTGCCAGGGTCAGCCTATGAGGTCCTCCTGCCAGGGTCAGCCTGTGGTGGTGGTCCTGCCAGGGTCAGCCTGTGAGGTCCTCCTGGGTGTCAGACTCCTCCCTCCTGTGGGCTGACTTCAGGATTTCAGTCTCTCAGTGAAGCACCGTCCTTAGATAGCAGCCCTGGACCCTGCTCTTGCTCCTCCTGTCCTGTTTGGTTTTCCACTCTTTTGATAATAATTTAGGCTTCCTCTTCCCCTCTCTCGGGAGAAAACTGCTCAAACTGATTCAACCATGAATAGTTTAACAAAGAAGAAGATGGTGTTCGTGGCAATGGCCGTTTGCAGGTCAGAGTTTTCGGTAGGATTCCTCAGGACTTTTCCCATTGGCATGCGAGGAGGACCGTAAAGACGAGGAACTTCTCAGACTTCGGAACCAGATTGTACTGTCTGACTCGGCCTTACAGAAGAGCATCTCCAGTTCGCCAAGAATCCCCGCACCAAGACACTGACAGCACGCATTTCCACAAGGATGCGCAGCACTGTGTGCAGCGGCACTCAGGAGAACGTTGACGGGGTTTCTGGTTAACAAAGACCCTCTTCAGTGAGAACTGCTGGGTATGCATTTGCCAAGTACATGAACTGCTGTTCTGGCTTATTTGGAAGTGCCTAAGAAACAGATCTTCCATGTTCACTGCCTTGGTCACTGTCCTAATGCGATGAAGAGACACCGTGGCCATGGCAACTTTTTTTTTTTTTTTTTAGATTTATTTATTTATTTATTTATTCTGTATACAGTACTCTGCCTGCATGTGTGCCTGCACGTCAGAAGAGGGCCACCAGATCTTATTATAGACGGTTATGAGCCACCATGTAGTTCCTGGGAATTGAAATTCAGAACCTTTGGAAGGACAGGCAAGTGCTCTTAACCTCTGAGCTGTCTTCTCCAGCCCCTGCAGCAACTCTCATAGAAGAAAGCATTTAATTGGGGCTTGCTTGCAGTTTCAGAAGTTTATTCATTATTCTAATGGCGAGGAGCCTCGTGCCGCAGAGACAGACATGGTGCTGGAGAAACTGCAGGTTCTACATCTGGATTCCCGGGCAGCAGGAAAAGAGAGACATTGGGCCTGGCATGGGCCTTTGAGAGCCCAAAGCTCACATCCAGTAAACATACTTCCTCCAACAAGGCCACACCTCCTCATCCTTTCAATTAGTGCCTCTCCCTAAGCCTTCTAATACATGAGTCTATGGGGTACCTTTACTCAAACCAGCATGTTCATCTTTCATAATTTAGATCTCTAAAACATTGGAGCATCAATGTGTTAAAGGTCACCTTACCCAGAATCCTTTGCAGAAAGATACAGGAACTGTATGAGCATACTGCACTTCCAGCAGCTGGCCTAGGCCCTCTACGCAGTCCTCAGCTGGTATTCCGGGCTGGGCTTTGGTGGGCCCAGCAGAGAGGGTACAGGCCCAGACTCGATGCTGCCAGGGCCATGCTGCTTCCTTAGCCTCGACCCAGGAGCTCCAGAATTTTATTATGAGTTGTTATATACTAGACACGATCAGATCTATGACTTGTGAAACATTTTCTTTTGCTTTATGGGTAGGCTTTCTGACAGCGTGTGACATGCAGGCACAGAGGCCTGAGCCTGGATCCCTATCACCTACACAAAAAAATCAGTATGGTGGCACACACCTGTAATCCTGGTGCCGGGGAGGCAAAGCCAGGCAGGCATATGCCATGTACATAGGAGTGATATGTCTCTTCAAGATATTTATTTCCTTTGGAAATGTCCCCTGAAGCTTGGTTCTGGGTCATACGGTAGTTCTATTTTTATTTTTTTTTAAGGATCTTCCATATTGTTCCCCATATGGCTGTCCCATTTTTTCTTGACACCCTTGCCTACACTTTTTGTCCCTTGTCTTTTGGATGATAACCATCCTAACAGATGTCAGGTGGTGGCTCACTTGTGATTTTGATCTGTTTCCCAGACGGCTGCTGATGTTGATTACCTTTTCACGTACCTGTTGGCCAGCTATATGCTTTCTTTGGAAGAAAATGTCTTTTTAGGCCTCTTGTCTCCTTTTAATTTTCTTCCCCCAACCCTGTCTGAATCTTAAAATCAGAAAGTGTGTGCCTACAACCTCTTCATTCACAGCTTGTCTAGCCTGTTCAGAGTCTCTTGTGGTTCTGTATGTATTTTAGTTGGATTCCTTTTTTAAATGCTTAGAACATTCCCATTATATTTTGAAATGTTGACTTAAAAAAAAACCTTTCATTTTTAGAAATATTGTATTAAGGGTGAAATGTCATTTTAGGAACTTGAGAAAGAATTCTAATATTGGATAAAGCTTAAAAAATAGAAAGAGATGCAATAAAAGGCACACAGAGCAGTTAAAATTATCTCATCACAGCTAAAAAGAAAATTGATGTTATTTAACAAGGAGCAATTGAGTTTCTTGGTACCATTACAGATAAAAGTTTTCTAAAGTCTATGGAGGGATCACAACCAGCCTAACAGGCTCTCGTGTGTAGCCCGAAGCTGGACGGGAATATGAAAGGGAATTGCCATGGGCTCCATTTGAGATGTCTGCCACAGGATCGTGTTTTGAATGCCTGCTCCTCAGATGGTGGAACTCTTTGAAAGGCTGTGGCATCTTTAGGGGGTGGGTCTTCGCTGGGGGAAGTAGGTTGATAGGAGTGAGCCTTTGAAGGTCTTAGCCTGGCTCCTGATTCCTGTTGGGTTCTGCGCTCTGATCAGCACACAGGGCAAGCAGCTTCCACCACACAGTCCCCCTGCCAGGACCTGAGCTGTCCTGCCATGCCCTCCCTGCCATTTTGAGACCTAAAAATAAACCCTATAATAGGGTCTCTCTATGTAGCCTAGACTGCTCTTGAATTTATAGTTCTCCTGCCTCTACCTCCATAATTCTAACATTACCGGTACGTAAACACCATGCCTGACTCTTTTTTTTTTTTAAGCTTTCTGGAAAATATGAATCATAACCTGAGCTGTATCTCCACATGACTAGGGTAGCCCAGCATTCAGCTTCGTCTGTTTGGTGCTCTAATTCATTACCGGTGTGTCCCAGAATGGCCAGAAAACGACGTTGCTATACTAGATCAATGTCTTTGAACTTGGATCAAAACTCAATGAGTGATAGCTCTGCTGAGGAAATAAACTACAACCGTTTAACTGATGTGGTGTCAACACTTTTATTTTATTTTATTTTATTTTATTTTATTTTATTTTATTTTATTTTATTTTATTTTATATTTTGAGATAGACTGTCATGTAGTTGGGGATGGCCTTGAACTCCTGATCTTTCTGCTTCTACCTCCCATATGCTAAGATTACAGACATGTGTCACTATGTCTGACTGTATTATTATTATTATTGAGATAAGATCTCACTTGGCTGTCCTAGAACTCACTCTGTAGTCCAAGTGCCATAATTAGAGGCATGCACCACTATGCCCAGCTCTATATTTATTTTTGAATATTTTTTAGGGAGCAGAAAAAAATATTTTAACAAACTATTAGCAATACAAAATATTTATAACATAGATAAAAAATGTATGACATAGGCCATTTCTAGAATATAATACAGCTTTACAATTATATCTACAACAATACGCATTTCACCTATACAAAAACAAACAAACAAAAAACTCTTCTTCTGGGTTACTCTTTGTGCATGAAACAGAAAGGTAAAGTCTTGGGCTTGGATTTTCCTGCCTGAGTCAGCTTTTCTGTCAGTCTCCCGGCTGTGTCAGAAAATGCACAGAATGCCAAAGACCACATTTGAATTTTCTTTGAAAGTAGCTATAGCACAGACAGCTCATCCTTGGGGCCTGGAAGACAACTCAGCCTCACAACATTTGCCTCACACGTATGAGGACCCGAACTCTCATAAATGAAAGGCAGCTGTGGTGGTGCGTGCCTGCAGCTCCAGTGAGGGTGGAATGGGAGGCACAGACCACGTGTGCGCTCACTCGTACAAACACACGCAGCACACGAGTGTACACACACACACACACACCCTGAAAGAAAAAAACAGGGTCTGGGAGATGGCGCAGTGGGTGAAGCTCTCGCTGTTCGAGCTGGGGGAGCAGAGCTTAGGCCACCAGCACACACACAGGTGTCATGGGGGTGAATCTGTGACCCTAGTGATAGGAGGGCCCCTGGAGCTTGTTGGCTGGTCTGTTTAGCCGGTTCATGAACCTCACTCGCATGGAGAGACTCAAAAATGTAAGAGTGGTAAAGTTGTCTAAAGCCAGCCTCTGACTTCACGTCTGCACACACAAATAAAAACGGAAGGAGGGAGATGATAAGAGCAATTCCTTACGTAAAAAAAAAAAAAAAAAAAAAAATAGTTCGGTGACTAGTGAGGTATATTGTGCAGCAAGAACAAATGAGAATGGGATGCCTTCCCTTCACGAAATGTTTTCACAGTAAACATGGTGTAACTGATGTTGAGAGTATTTCTCACTTCTCTTTGCTTGCAATAAAAATAGCATTCATACAGTTTTTAAAGAGTATTATAGAGTAGATAAATAGTAAAAAAATCAACCAGCCACGTTGGCTTAATTCCACCACTTACGGAGGCAGAAGCAGGCAGATCTCTATGAGTTCGAAGCCGGCCTGGTCTACAGACCAAGTTCCAGGCTACACAGAGAAATCCTGTCTTGAAAAACAAAACAAAAGAGGAAGGGCCTGGGGGCTACTGGGGATCCCTGGCTCAGCTGCTCTGCAAAGTGATTAATATGTAAACAAAAATTTTATTCGCTTTAATGCCCGGTGGATCTCTGTGAGTTCCAGAGATACATACATACAGGGGCTACATAGAGAGTTCCAGGCCACGCAGGGCTATGTAGAGAGAGCCTCAAAAAAAAAAAAAAAAAAAAAAAAAAAAAAAAAAAAAAAAAAAAAAAACAAAAAAAAAAAAAAAAAAAAAAAAAAAAAAAAAAAAAAAAAAAAAAAAGCAGCAACCAAACATAAAAAGCTTTATTTGTTGTTGAGAACGATACAGTATGAAATTGTATATACTTCTTCCTTCCCTCTCATGATCCCCTTTCATGTTTCATGGCCCCTCCACATATGTGAATGCACACATTCGTGTGGATTCACACACCCTTGCTTTTAAATCTAGATCCTACAAGCCTATAAAAGAAAATATGATATCTAAATCTTTTGTAATTTTGTTTTGTTTTGTTTTGTTTCACGTGCATTGGTGTTTGGCCTGCATGTATTTCTGTGTGAAGGTGTAATCTTAGAATTACAGACAGTTGTGAGCTGCCATGTGGGTGCTGGAAATAGTCAGATCAAGTGCCCGGAAGAACAGTCAGTGCTCTTAATCGCTGAGCCATCTCTCCGGCGTCTGAGGTGTTTATATATTGTCTAATTAAAAATTGGGGTGTTGTGCCCCTGCTCTCACCGGTGGCATGGCAGAGGGAAACAAACACAGGTGTTGGCTATGAACACAAGATGTGCCTTGGGCTAGCGGTAACTCCGTGACCGGTGCGGAACAGGAATGCTTTTTGCTGTTGTGTTTTGAGACAGGCTCTCTCTATACATCCCTGGATGTCCAGAAATTCCATACGTAGATCAGGCTGGCCTTGAGACTCACAAATCTGCCTGCCTCTGCCTCCCTAATTCTGAGATTAAAGATGAACTCCGCACCATCTCACTAGGAACGCTTTCTTCTTCGAAACAGCTTTTGTAGCTCTTGTTCTAAAGCCTGCTTTGATGGCGCTGCTGCTTTTTCAATGCATTTTATTCTGCATCAAGTATCTATGGGACTATCGGACAAAATAGATTCTTAAGTTTTCTGTATTGCTGTTTGTCTTTTATGTTGCATTATTTTAACTTGCGATTTGATTTTTATTCATCTATTATTATACCAGGTGTGTGTGGAGTGGGGGGGGGGGGGGTTGTGGGTGTGTGCAAGGTGTCCGGAGACAGCCTGCCTCCTCTCCTGCCTCCTTGTGGTCAGAGGACAGCCGCCAGAGCTGGGGAATCAGCTCTCTACTGCCACCTTGTGGATTCAGGGATAAATCTCGGATCACCAGCCCTGTATGCAAGTGCCTCTAGCCACTTAGCCGTCTGACTGGCCCTGTGTTATTTTAATTTTATATTCCTTCCTCTGATCACTCATACCAGACAGCAGGGAGCAGAGAAATTAGGGGGAATGAACCATCTAGATGAAGGTTTGGCTATGGGTGCTTAAATTTTGTGTAAGAGACATCACCAGATCTAGCTGGTGCTTAGCGTGGGTCTGTGGGTGGGTGGGTATCATCCTGGCCTTCATTGGTCTAAGGAAAAAGGACACTAAAGCAACGGGTGGTTTGGCACAGAACCGTAGAAAGAATGGTTTTACTCATGTATGTATTTCTCGTCTGATTTTTGTGACAGCGCAGGAGCAGTGTAACTGCACTTGTAAGACAAAACGAAGATGAAGGTATACAAAAGAATCAGAAGCCAAAGGTAAGAGAACCGAGTGAGTAGAGTCTACCACACAGTGAAGAGCACACTAGACCTTTTGTATCCACGTCCTGGGGGTGTGGGATTCAGCCTCATACACATCTGAGTCTAAAACGACCAAGAGTCAGGTCAATATTTGCTCATTTCCCTAGGTCTCCTTCTCAGCCTGGCCCTGAGTCCGGCTGTGACATAGTGACAGAGTGCGACGGGAGAGAGGGGCAACCCAGTCAGAAACTGCTTAAGACTAGAAGTCAAGAACACGAGGCCTGTGGACTGAGCAGAATGTTCTAAATACAGGAAGCTTGGTTGTAGAACATGCAGGAAGTACTACAGACCCTACCGTGAAACCAAAACGCATGATTATTGCAGAGAGCAATTAGATGGTGTGTTTTAGGGCTTGAGTCAGTGACAAAAAATAAAAAATAAATAAAAAGGCAAAAGCATTGTTCCCAAGACAGTGAGTCTTAAAGATCTGGGGTGAGCAGCAAAGCCCCCTCATCCCCAGCACACCCTTCCGGTGACTCTGGTTTCCCCTTGATCTGGGCAGCAGTGAGGTAAGCAAGAGAAGAATGCGAAAGGCCAAGGGTGGAGGCACACCCCTGTAATCCTAGCCCTTGGGAGACAGGAGCAGGCGGAACAGAAACTCCAGGCCATCCTCCTCCCCAGAAGGACATCAAGGCCAGCCCAAAATACAGGGGATGAAAGGAGAGGGGCTGTGACACTGAGAGGGAGGCGGCGTGTCCACGGTGGCAGAGAAGGGTCCCTCACAGGTCTCCTGGCTCCTGGTCAGAGTTCTGCTAGATCCCCAAACTCTCTGAGGAAGAGCCGGCGCAGAGCCCTTCCAAGAAGATCCTGGAAGTTGGTAGCAAGAAGGTCCCTGTGTAATCTCTCTTATCTCTGTCTAGAAAGGGTCAACAAAATGCAAAGCAAAAGCGGCCACCCAGCTCCAGGCCTGGTGGCGTGGCACCCTGGTGCGCCGGACCCTGTTGCGCTCTGCCCTCAGCGCCTGGATCATTCAGTGCTGGTGGCGGCCGACGCTCTGGAGGATCGCGGAGAAGAGGCGGAGGAAAGTGCTGATTGACTTCTCAAGCAAAGAGAGAGCGGTGGTCAAGCTCCAGTCTCTGATTCGGATGTGGCGGGTCCACTGGCGGTACTGCCAAGTCCTCAATGCTATCTACATCATCCAGGGCCACTGGCAATACCACAACTGCCAGTCCTGCTCTTTGCTGCGGGGTCACTGTGTGATCACGGCCACCCACCTTCAGTTCCACATTGAGATCATTGACCACTGAGCGTTGCCTAGAAGAGACGCTGTGAAATCGGTTCCCAATAAAGGTCTAAACGGTTCATGTGGGTTTGCGTTCGCGCCTGGTGGAAGCCTGCAGACTCGGCTCTCGCTGACTCCCGTTGTCCCTCACAAAGAACAAATGTGAGGTTTTCCTGTGCCTGTGTGTTTGGGATGCTAATGGTCACGTGCCAATCCAGTCATCAAAACAGCAGCTGGGTCCCAATCTGACCTGACCTATGACACAGCCACGAGTCTACCTCCGTTCCCAGACCCATTCCTTCCTCCCCAGCACTGATCTGAAGACGAGTGAGCTGCTTCCTGTGAAAACGCCTCACACCTCTGCACACACAGAATGGCTCTGGGGTCAGCAGTCGGGGTTGGCTGGCATCTAGAGTGCCTCGGTTTCCTCTTCGGGAAGCATCTTAAGGAAATGTCAGCGTCTTAATGAGGGATTCACAACGTGGCCCCGAGTGAGGACGGGAGTGTGGCCTTGGTGCTGGCTGGGGCAGGAGCATCTCAACAGGAGATGACCCCGAGGACACGTGAGAAAAGCCACGCAGCACCTCAGTTCTTTCTTCACAGTTCCCGCGCCCAAACAGGGCATTCTCTGACACCCCTCCCTCCCCTTCCCCTAACCCCTCTCAAGCTTTTTAATCCTGCTCTCATGGACATACTAAACTAACACTGCTTTGTAGAAGCTTCTCTGGTTGCACTGTCTGGTATGGGAAATCCCTGGAAACAAACCTAGTGCAACTGAGGAAAAAGGCTTTTAACTTTAACTAACCACACTGTGGCTAGTGGCCACTGCCCTGGAGAGCAGGGCTCTAGACACGATCAACCCCTGTGATGAACCCCAGCTCAGCTTCCTCGTTCCACAGTCTGGTCTCTGGTTAATTCCTCCTTTCCTTCTGGTGCAGCTTCTCAATAACCGATAGGGGGGTCTCCTCAGATGTGTTAAGGGCTTCACTCTAGATCCTGCTTGCTTTTCAGGCCACCGCTCCTGTGGTGCCTTTTTATTTTTTTAACCAGTTCGGATCCTGATACTCATTATGATCTCTTCTCTATACAGTCTGGCTGCTTCTCTTCCTTCTTCCATCCTTTTTCCTCCCAATCCCTTCTTCCCCTCCCTCCCTCAACACATAGGGGATGAACCCACCCACCTTCCTGCCCCCTTGCCTAAACTATAGTGTGGCTCAAGCAAGACTGTCTGTACTCCAGACTATGTAGCCCAACTGAATATTCTCCAAATTTTCTCTCCTGTTTGCATTTCTGTTTTATGGGTCGAATAATCCAAAACCTCTCCTCCCCAAATGCCCAGTTTTACTCTTCTCTCCTCCACTTGATTGAAGAAACGGGAACGGGTTGAATCACCAATTTCCTCTCGCCTTGTTCTCCATCTCAGCTGTACCTGGCCCCACACTCACTGTTTTCTCTCCAGTGAAACAGAAGGTCTTTGTCTCGATCACAAGCCAACCCCTCTATTCCTCTTCTGCCTTCTCAAGCTGGCTGATCCCGTATGTGGGGCCTAGCTGTCCAAATGAGCAGTGTCTACCTCTCCCATCTTTAAACCCCAGCACCCTGAAGGCAGAGGCTGGCAGATGGCTGAGAGTAAAATGCCAGCCTGGTCGACATAGCAAGTTTCAGGCTAGCCTTGGCCTACAGAGTGAAGCCCTGTCTCAAAAATTAGGTGGGGGAAGAGGGGTGACCAGGGAGATGGCCCAGCGGTTGAAAGCACGTGCGGCTCTTCCTGAAGCCCAAGGCAGGGTTTCCAGTTGCTCAAAGCCACCTGTAACTCCAGCTCCAGGAGATCCAACACCTCTGGCCTTGAAGGGTACCAGCACTCGCATAAAAAGCACGCTCACACAAAGACACAAATACAGGATTTCACGCAAGTTTTAAAATAATACAATACAAATAAAATCCTTTTTAATTTTTTTTTTAAATTCTGTTCTAGCTCTTTGCTTCTCCTCATAGCAAGACATGGTCCTACTCTTCTCTCTCTGCGCCCCCCCTGCTTTCCCTTCAATCATGCCCCCACCACACACACACACACACACACACACACACACACACACACACACTTTAAAGAAGTTTGTTCAAGGACTGGAGAGATGGCTCAGAGGTTAAGAGCACTGGTTGTTCTTCCAGAGGTCCTGAGTTCAATTCCCAGCAACCACATGGTGGCTCACAACCATCCATAATGAGATCCGGTGCCCTCTTCTGACAAGCAAGCAGAACAGTCTATGGATGATAAATAAATCTTTTTTAAAATAAGTATATGTGTATCTTTAAAAGTTTAAGTAAGACACTTGGGCTGGAGAGCCACATCAGCGGTTAAGGATGCATACTGCTCTTGGATGCATAGCCAAGCTCAGTTCCTAGAACCTGTCGCGCGCGGCCTTTGCCGATAAGGACGACGCAACAACCAAGGATTTCTTCAGCGGCAAGTTTATTGAACAGCTCTTTCTTGCAGATGGTGAAGGACCCAAACCCCGGGTTGTGCTCTGCTTAAATAGCCAGCAGCGCGACCTGTCCGTCTGTAATTGGTGCTCTGTTCAAGTCTTCATAAGCATATGGCTGGCAATTGGAGTGCAGCCTAAACCCTCGTTAGCATAAAGCTGCGCATGCGTAAACTGCAGGGCGGCGCAGGCAAGAAGCGCGAAAATGCTGGCAAGAAGAACCAGGAAGCAGGCGCCATCTTGTAATGGCGGGAGCGGCTCCCGACATCTCCCCCTTTTATATATATTAAAGGCCATCTCAATCAGAAAAATAACACACCATGAGGTTACTGATCAGCCTGCTGAGCCAACAGCGTCAGCGATCAAGGAGTTTACACAGTGTAAGAGACCCTCTGCACCTTGAGTCCCGTGCAATGGGAACCTGAGCCCTGGGAGGTGCAGAAGTCTGTCTTGAACAGCATCCTGGTGCAATGGGAACCTGTGCCCTTCAGGAGTGCTACTAGTTCAGACAGTGTCTCAACGACTGAGCATGTTAAGCCAAACTTGGGGAGATGCTCCCTGTTCCACAGCCAGCATAGCCCGCACCATGGCCACATTTTTAAGATGTTGCTGTCTCTTAAAACGGCAGAGCAACCAAAAACAGAGAAACAGTCCAGCCAGTAGCAACACTCCAAATATTCCCACGCCAACCCACTCCTTAAAATAGGAAAAGGCAGAAGATAGACATTGGCAAATAAGGTAGTCCCAGAGAGTCATTAGTGGAATCTCCTGGGTCTCCACCTCCAAGCTCGTCAGCAGTCCGTTTAACATCAGGATCAGGATCAAAGTTAGGGTCAGGCTCATCTTGCTTCACCACCCGGGTCAATTGCGCCGGAACCCAAATTGGATTTTCTTGGTCCTGTGGGAAAATACACACAGCTCCCCTGGATCTTATTAAAATAAGATCCGGTCCTTTAATGATTATAAGAGCAGAGAGCACAGCTGCTGCCAAGCTTTGATTTGTTACCGGTATTTGTTCATATACTTTAGGTGGGTATAAGGTCTGATTAATTACCCGAGCGTCCTCCCAGATTGGGAACGCGGTTTTAATCCGCTTCCTCTCTTTTTCTGATATCAGGGAAAATTTTGTCTCTGCAGATTTGGGTTTTTTAGTGGCTGACTTCCGCATGGAGAACCCGGAAGTGCCAGCATAGGCCACATATGGTGGCGGATCCGGGCGGTAACGCCCTTCCTCATATTTAGCTGCTTCCTCATCCAACTCTGCCTGCTCGTCAGGGTCGAGCCCTGACTCCTCATCAGTTTGTTGATTCTCAGAAGAGCTGTTTTCGCTCTCTGTAGACTCCGGCTCGCTCGATGACGAGGCGGCTTTCTTCTTTTCCTTGCTACCAGTCTGTTTTGGTTTCTTAAACTTCTTAACTAGCTTTCGCGCCTTCAGCGCTTTAGCCTTATCTTCCTTGGTCCCATCCTTAGGGGATTTACCAGTCTTAATTCCCTTTTCTGCTTCAGATAGACTGTCTTGATGGTCCCGTTTCCCACAACTAAGGCACAGACAACACAACAAGACCACAGAAATCATACCTTGCAGAAAAGTACCGCGGTTCTCACGCCACTGACTTTGAATCCTTACTCGACGAGCAGTCGGGGTCCTTCGAAGCGATCCTCCACTCCGGGTTCGGCGGTTCCCGGGTTTCGGCACCACTTGTCGCGCGCGGCCTTTGCCGATAAGGACGACGCAACAACCGAGGATTTCTTCAGCGGCAAGTTTATTGAACAGCTCTTTCTTGCAGATGGTGAAGGACCCAAACCCCGGGTTGTGCTCTGCTTAAATAGCCAGCAGCGCGACCTGTCCGTCTGTAATTGGTGCTCTGTTTAAGTCTTCATAAGCATATGGCTGGCAATTGGAGTGCAGCCTAAACCCTCGTTAGCATAAAGCTGCGCATGCGTAAACTGCAGGGCGGCGCAGGCAAGAAGCGCGAAAATGCTGGCAAGAAGAACCAGGAAGCAGGAAGCCGGCGCCATCTTGTAATGGCGGGAGCGGCTCCCGACAAGAACCCACATCAGCTGCCTCGGAACTGCCTGTAACTCCAGGAGATGCAGCGCCTCTGACCTGCACTCACATATCCATGCACAGGCTCACACAGGCTCACACATCGACACAGAATTAAAAACAAACTGTTTAAAAAAGATACCTGACTTGAAGGGAAACTAAGGTCTGTTTTGTTAGAGTTGTTTACTTACAGACAGTTGCCTATATGTAGTAGCCACATACAAAAATCTTGTGAAATTATCCCAGTGATTAATGAGAAACACTAAAATTCTCCATTTGGGTGAGATATGCAGGAGTTGTATGTCCGTACGAGTGGTGGCTGTTTGTTAAACAGCAGGAGCAAAAGAACATCTTGGGATGTAAAGAGAGTTGGGTAGCATGGAGAAGGGGTTGCTTCACAGGCTGGTCCTCCTGTCATCTTATGTTTGACATCAGGCAAAATGCACCCTTAAATTCCATCAGAGCACTCCAGGCAAAGGCAGTCGGATCTCTGTGAGT